CTATTCCAACGAATGTTTTGCGCCAGGCACTTTGGACCAGTTGCAGCGGTCACTTTGGACCAGTGACCAGACCCAGAGGATTGGCCACCCATTAGGTGGGCCTTGTTCAAGCCTGGCTTTAGGCAGTTTCAAGCTATGGAATTCTCTGAGATCCAGAGAAGTGAAATGCGAAGTATTCTCTGCAAATCGGATGGTGTGAGATGGTGTGACTATGAACTATGAACCACGAACAATCCAACCAAAACAAATCCTACTTAATTCAATGTTTGTATGAATGTGTGTAGATGTACATTCTGACCAGTATGCATACAATCTTAATCTAGAGCGGTTTGTAAAACTGCAAGTGTGAAGATACATGAAGCTACCATCCAATTGATCTTGCAGGCAATGCTTGGACAAAGTCCATCTATAGAATCTCTATCTCTATAGTGCTATTTTTTGCACAAAGCCGAATCAAGAGCTGGTTTCAAACTGCTCTCTGTGCTTCTGGACCCAAGCCCTCAGCCAACTGCTTACGCACAGACCTGCTGTCACCACCACTGAGCGGATGACCCCAGGTGATGACTACACCATCTGCCCGCATCGCAGCAAATGCACTGCTGGACGCGTGGACCTCCAAAATGTCAAATAGCTGGTCTCGAACCTGGCAGAATCTGGCAAAGCTACCTGAAAAATGTATCAACTTCTGAGGCTTTCCCTGCATGGCAGAATTGGATAGCAACGGACCCACAAAGTGGAAACTCTCCAGGTCTTAGGACGGTAATAGTTTTGAGATAGAAGTTGAGCATTTTTGAGCCATGTCCAGTCGGTCAACTGTACTTGGGGCCAATTCACTCACAAAAAAAAAGTGGCAGCAAAGGGATATGACAAGCTGTTTGTGCTGCCTGAAGGCAGGTTCCTGGGAAAGTCACAGCAAATCTTCCCCCCTGGGCCTGATGGAAGCAATCATGATACATCAGTCCATGGTCTAGCCTACTGTACAGTAAAAGTAATGAACGATCAAAAGAGCAAAAAAAAATGGTGTTGTTTAAAGAAATCCAACCATATATAAAGTAAACCATAATTATATGGTACCGTCAAGAGTAAATGGATGTTTTGTATGGTGTTTAGCAAACATATATTTGGCTCTGCGCAATCAAATCCAGAGTCCTTTTCCAGACGGGCAACAGGTTTTTAATCTGGAGTTCACACCTACCAGAGACAGATCGAACTGTATACAACAACAACAACAACAAAGACAAAGATTTGAATCATGATCCAAGTTTAATATATTTTGAAATATATTTCAGTTGCGTATTCAATCTACTCCTTTTGATTAACAGATATTGATATTATGATTATTATTATTATTACTATTATTATTATATATTATACATATATATATAATTATACATATATATAAGTCGTGATGAGACCTTCTCGGCACTCCAAGGCCCAACACCCGCACACACCCAGCACTTTGTCAAAGGCGCTATGCTGCTGTCACCGCCATAGGCGGGATGCCCCCAGGTGGCAACGGCACCGTCTGCCCTGATGGCAGCAAATGCTCCCAAGGAAGCGTAGATCTGCTGCACATTTCCTGGGTAAACTGGGATCATGCTGGAAGGGCACATCGGATTGCTCAGGCAGTATTTAGTCGCAAGATGTCGCAAGATGTCACAAGTAATTATCATTGAATAGGTACTGTACTGTATTGTTTAGCACTGGATTCGACTTCATTTTAGAACATGTGAACAGCATCCATCTGACCTAGTGGGCCTAGTGTCCCACTTCAAGTCAAGTATCTGAGACGATCTTGAACAGCAGCACTTACGCCACCATATTCTGGATGGCCCCACGTTACAACCGAGCCGTCGTCTCTGATTGCGGCGAAGGCTGTTTCAGCCGCATGGACTTGCTGAACTCTCACCAGTTGAGTTTGAGCTGAACGACTGTCGCCACCATATAGAGGATGACCCCAGGTGACCTCGGAGATTGGACGCTGGTGGCATCTGCACTTGTGACATTGTACCCTCTGGTGAACTAACATAAAATCACCATGTTTTATGGGTAAATCCACTATAAATGGCCATTTTCAATAGCTATGTTAGTTTACCACAGGGTAACCATCCTCAATGATCACAGGTTATCTATGATCACCAGAACGCCCAATGACTTGTTGCTGTACTCAATACATCTCCATACAGTATGCACAACTGCTGCCTCAAAATTAGGAACTTTGGCTAAAAATCTTCCTTGCAGGCTAATGGCAGCAAAACGGTGTAAAGATTCATTAAACATCATTAAACATTCATCATCAAACCATCTATTGCGTGCTACCAAGGCACGACGTCACCACCACCTGTCACGGCAGCAAAGGCTTTGTTCGACACGTAAATTTGCTCTACATCCACCAACTGGCTTTGAACACCGCGACAATCTCCTCCACTGAGGGCGTGACCCCATGTCTGTACCGTTCCATCCATCATGATAGCAGCAAAGGCTCCACTGGAACTGTGAACGGATCTGACGTTCTGCAGCTGTTCCTTGACCGCGGAGCAGTCACCACCATATTCACAGTGTCCCCAACTAAGCACTTGACCATCACCCCGAACTGCTGCAAAGGCTTTTCCTGATGCAGCTATGCTCCTCACATCATGGAGTTCATGTCGGACAGCCGTGCTGTCCCCTCCCTGCTCGGGATGTCCCCAAGTCACCACAGAACGATCCTCCAGAATGGCAGCAAACGCAGCCTCTGTAGCATGGACTTCTTGAACATTCACTAGCTGTTTGGCCACAGATTTGCAACTGCCTCCGTGTGACGGCAAGCCCCAGGTCACGATTGAGCCGTCGTATCTCAAAGCAGCAAAGGCTTGCATTGATGGAAAGATCTCCCGCACATGGACCAGCTGGTCTTGCACAGCTGCACTGTCTCCTCCCTGATCTGCATGCCCCCAGGTGACAACGGTTCCGTCAGTCTTGACAGCGGCCAAGGCCTTGTTGGTCGCATAGACTTTCTGCACATTCACAAGTTGGTCTCGAACGGCGCGGCTGTCTCCTCCGTGAAACTTGTGACCCCATGTGATTACAGTGCCATCTGCCCGAATTGCCGCAAATGTGCTGGCTTTTCGGTGTGATTGCAAGATTGGACCAGCTTTGGAAACGGCCGTCACAACAGAACCTTCTTGCAGACCCAGACCACAGAGGGTACTGAAGAGAGTGGGAAATACATCCAGACGAGTACCAGCATGTGTCACTAGAGCCACAAGCGTTCGGCCCAACTTCAGTTGTGCCATTTGACGCAGCTCGGCGATGCGCGTGTTCCCGTCTACTTCAAGTGTGACCATCTGTCCGCTCAACAAAGTCACCGTCAAGGTGAACGTCATGCTGGGCGGTAAGGGCAAGGTCCGGCAACGGTGAACTTGGAATCTGATGTGGCTGCTTGCTGTTTGTGGTTTTGTTGAATACTCTCGCAATGTGTTTATGTTTGTCTTTTGCTGTCCAACATACTTTGTCGTTTGTTTCCCAGACGTCTAGGAAAAAAGATGCAAACAGCCTGTGCTGCTTTGATGACTGGGGCACAGTGGCTTCGACACGAGTGCACTGAACATACGGCACTGGACAAACTATCCTTTGCATTCCTTTGCAACCCAACAAAGACTTGGTGAATCGCACCCCGAGAAGTACTTGGTGAGGCCAGCATTGTCGGTGTTCCTTAGGCTGCACTCTGAATTCAAAGGCTATGAAAAGTGCTATGGGTCTGTCTGAAAATGAGATACCCTTCAAAGAACATGAGTTTTTGTTCATGAATTTCCCATATTTTCCCATATTGAACTTCCATAACCTGAGACTTGGGATATAGCATAGCAGTGGTCAACCTGCTTGGTGCCCCTGCTGAGACAATCCACCAACGAAAATGACGTTCTTCAGCGCTGCAGCGGAAGGATTGACTGACCCACGGGCCCGAATAGGAGCCTAACATGGCACCAGGAGAGTTTCATGTCCCTGTCATTTTTTAAGTCCAACTGGGTCACTTCATTGAGTTCACCTTGCAATCACATGATCTCTCACATGATCTCTTTCTGACAGTCACAGCACAGCACCTGCACCTCTTTTGAATATCCGCCACCATGACCTGTCTTCAGAGAAGCAAACAAGGGCAAACTTAGTGTTATGACGGACCCAGAAGTCACACGCGAACATCAGAATTCCAAGCGCCACAGTGATTGAGGTGCCAAAACACATCCCGCACTGGGCCTGTGTTGCCAAATGCAGATATCTCCGCCCAAGGTGCGAACCAGTCCTCCTCGACTCCGGCCTGCTTCGCACACAGCTGCGGCCAAAATTTGGAGCCTCAAAATCCAAGGATCTTGCGGAAGTTTCCCTCAGATATTTTTTCACGAGCCATGTGGCTTGGGTTATGCCCCATTTCCGGATGCCCTCTGGTAAACCAACTAACATAGCTATGGAAAATCACCATCTTTAATAGATAAATACACTATAAATGGGCCATTTTCAATAGCTATGTAACAAATTACCAGAGGGTAAATCCACATCGAACAGCCTGGACTGCCGCATTCCAGAACTCCAAGCCCTTGGCCGCCAACCAGCCAGGGACTGGAAACATCAGCTTTGAAATCTCAAGCTCCTATGATCACTTCATTCACATAATATTATTCACATATATGCTATACATTATATATAATATTATAGACATATAATATTATATTATTATGTTATCATATTATTATATTGTTATATTATTATATGATTATTACTATATCATTATATTATTATTTATATTATATTATTATATTGTTATTTTATTATTTTATTATATTGTTATATTACTGTATATATTGCTATATCATTATATTGCTATATTATTATATTATTATATTATTATATGATTATATTATTATATGATCATATTATTATATTATTATATGATCATATTATTATATTATTATATTATTATATGATTATATGATTATATTATTATATGATCATATTATTATATTATTATATTATTATATTATTATATTATTATATTATCATATTATTATATTATTATATTATTACATTATTACATTATTATATTATTATATATATATTATACATATGTCAGATACTTCAGAAGCAGCGCAATTGCATGAATCGCATGTCCTCCAGTATTTAAGTGGAGACTTCTGGCAAGGCATGTGGGGCCTCATGTCAACTTGGGACAGCGCGAGCAGAAGTTGATCACGGCTTCCCGCCATGACGACGAGCTGAGGCGAGACAAAGCTTGAAGTTAGGCAAAACAAGCCTTTGGAAGGCTTTTTTTCAAGAAACTGAAACACGTTATGTAATGTGTATACGTATATATATATATATATGTATACGTATATATACACGTATGTAACACATTGAAGTGTCTTATGCCAGTCATGGCTCCGGGAACCTCAAACGCCATAAAACTCGTGGTGACAAGACACACACCCCGTGCTGTGGCAACGCCTGGTGGCGATTCTCCACGGTCTCCTGAACATAGAGACGGACTCCTGTCTCCTTTCCAGTGCGCGGATGCCAGTGTACTTCCCTCCCATGCGAAAGGCGAGGCCAAAGAGAGTACCATGAAACTGCACAATTTATAAATATCTATGAAAGCATAGTATATGAAAAGAGTGTGGTATGAAAATCCTGTGCTTGACAAGTGAGATCAAGTCAGACAGGGTACAGCCTGCTCGCGCCATGATCCAATTCGCAAACGCACTGAGTTTCAAGATCAAACGGTTGATAGCAGTTGGATCGATTCGCATAGTTTTGTGCGCGCCCACCTAAGAAATCTATAGCTTTTGTTTGGTATCACGTGATGCTGACAAAAATTCTAGGGATCTTTGGATCACGGTCCCTGGTTGGGACTTTGGTCTCAACGAAACGTATGAAACGTGACCGCTGCGTGGAGTTTTACGGCGTCGGATGGGATCAGCGAACACGCTGCACCGTAACAGGCCTCCTGCATCCGTGTAACACTCTCTGGACCATCTCTGCCTGACAGGGCTACTAGGCTTCTTGGACGCCTTGAACGTGAACGGATGTTCAAGGATCAACGAGATTCAACGAGACTAGTGGCCAAAAAACGAATGCAATGAACGTACAGCAAAAACGATGAAAAGCGCTGTAAGGCTGTAAGATGCATGGAGCGGCCACATGCACTTGCGATACTATGCAATTCAATTGAAGCAAATACGAAGTGGACTCTAGAGGCACCAAAAGATGAAAGTCATGTATGAAGGCGTGGCATCGGGTTTTTGAGGCCTGTTACAAGACGCTCTGATTTGCGACAGGCACCTTCTATGATTTCTATGTCACTGCATTCGTACCAAATTTTACATGAAAAACTCTATGACCCCATGATCACTGTATGAATAAGATATATAGTGAGACCGTGAGACCATCTCATCACGCAGCCTGGTGACTTCGAAGACTCAGTTTCTGCGCTTAAAACGTTCGTCGCAAAACTAACGTAGAGGGTATCTTTTGGGAGGAAATCTCATGGAGAAATAGCAAAAATGGCAGACAAGAAATCGCAGGACATGCCAGAACATGTCAGAACAAACTGCCCATGCGCCTAGGTCATCGGGTCTGATATGATTGCTGGACATCATAGTTTCCCCATTTTTCATGGTGAAAGGTGTATATTCATGTACAGATATGTACAGTATATCCCATTTTACCAGCATTTCCATGGTTAAACCACCATTTTTCCCGGTTAAACCACCATTTTTCCCAGTTACACCACCATTTTTCCCAGTTAAACCACCATTTTTCATGGGGAACCCCCTTTGGGGTTCCCAAGCGCTAAGGTCCACGCCGCCTTTCGCCGCCGGCTCGGTCACGGCGAGGCACAGCCGGATGCTGCGCACAGGCGAAGGAAATAGTAAACTGGATATTCAACTATAGTATTTTATAGTAGTATAGTAGTATAGTAATATAGTATAATATAGTAGTATTTTAAACTGTATTTAAATGTATTTACTATAGTAGTATAGTATACTTAGTAGATAAATAATTTTATATAGTAATGTATATATATATATACTATGTTAGTATCTATAGTATGAATATCAGTATGGTACTACTATAGTATTGAATGTCATATATATATGTATGATATAGTAGTGAACCATGGTATTATATCACTACAGTAATATATACACCGTAGTGTCACTCCATATATCACTATTCTATCATAATAATAGTATTCTAAAATAACATACTGGAAATAGATTATAGATATTCATAGGAATATGAATTCTATCAGTTCCGGTGCTAGCACCGTATCCTCCTTTCTAGCCGCAAAAAGAGGTGCATTTGCTGAGGTTGTCACTCCCCAGCAGTGTCGATGAAGTCGCCATCCTATCACTGTCACAAGCTGTTTTTCATGGTATCAACTTCCAAATTGTATCAATGGATTGGTTGAAGGGTTCAAATCTACCGGAAATCCATGGATTTAAACATGGTTTAATCCTCCAAACATATTATAATACATATATATATATATATACGTATATTATATAATATATATATACATACATTATATATTATATGGAAATTCTATAAATGTTCACACAAGTGTCCCTTCAACCCTGGATAACCCTGGTAATCAGCTGCATAGGACGGCTGTCCTCTAAACCAATCTTGCCCTGGCTTTCAAGCGCCTGACCATGCGCAAACTATACAGGGATGCCACACTGGAGCACAGAACTTCACAGCACCTGGCGCTCTTCTTCCGAGCATAGCACCACCTGTCACAGAAACCCTAGTCTCTGTGGTGGTTCATTGCCTCTTTTGGACATACTCAACGAATCTCAAGGAGAACTCTAGAGCAAATACACCCCAAACATGATCTGCGACTGGGTTGATACTTCAGGTGATTCAAGTCTTCGCTTCTGGTTGCAGGCTTCCATTGCAAAGTACTGTTCTGTCTGATGCAATCTGGTGCCGGGATGTTTTGCCTATGAAACCTGTAAGATCCTGTAAGTTATTTCCACAAGTTCATACCCCAACCAAGCAAATCGAGCTGTCGACACCCACGGGTGTGTTATGATAGCTGTGTTTCAGATTGCCAATGTCTTTGCACTTCATGTATCCATATATTTCCCCACTTCAAATAGACAAAAATACCATTCCATACCATTCCTACTTGTTCTGGCGTTACGTTCTCAAGAAGCTGAGAGGTAGTTCTCTTGATAATTCATACTGTGTGTTGATGGTAGTTTCGTGATTCCTACAATGCGCAGTAGGGAAGCTGTCTGAAGAGTCGGTGCTGAAGCCTTTGGCAAACGATTTTCGATAATTTTCATAGCCCTTTCCTTAAGGAAGAGGGCACAAGCTGGTGCGTTATCATTGGTCTGTTCAGAGAAAAGGGCCACGGATGACTTTGTCATCAAAAACCCGAAAAGTTTCGCTGTGGTTTACCATGGTTTACCTGTCCGACATCACCGATCTAGCTCCTCTGTAGCACAAGCGTCTGTGATGAAAACGTCTCCGTGACGCGGGAACAGAGGGACATGTGGGGGATGTGATGCTGATGTTAACTATCTCCGGTTGGGAGGCCAAATCACACAAACTGCGACGCAAAGAATCATAATTTCTCTCATAGTGTTCACTTCTGCAAAGCCACATGTCGCGTTCAGCTTGTAACAAGTCAACCATCCTGGAGTTTCTAGCTTCCTTGTCCAAGACAGCTTCCAGGCATCTCAACTCACATCCGACTGAGTGCTGAAACTCCTGCCCTTCGATGATCTCTGTCCGAAGCTTCTGCAATTCCTCATCTTTCAGTCTCAAAGTATCTTTGCAGGTCTGAAGCTGATCTAGCAACTGCTCGCAAAGTTCTTCTTTGGCTCTACTATTGGCCAAAGCAGCTTCTGCCACCCTTCGCTGTTCTGTCTGGCCATACAAGTCTTCTTTCAACTTGTTCACTTCCTCCTCTTTGCAGTTCAATTGCCTTCGCAGATCCTGCACTGTGTCTTCTCGTTCTTCCAGCAATAGTCGTGCAGCGCAAAGTTGATCTCTGGCCAGGGCGCTATGACCGCTACCCTCTTTCTGTAAACGAGATCGTTCTCTTTCAAGCACACTAGTCAACTCGGCCTTCACTTGGTAGAAGCTGGCTTCTAAGTCATGATAACGGCCCTGCCAATACTCGGCCCTACGACACAAACCTGTTTCCGGTTCAGCTCCATTTGCCTTTGGAAGTGTAGCAGTGATCACCACTGGACTGTCTGGTTTCATGGCGCGGCTACTGGTGTGGAACTCACTCCATATAGGCACCACTCTGAAGATCTTGGAAGTAATGAATGAGATTGAATATGATTGAATGATTGACTCTTGTGCTGAGTTGAAACTCAGTCTGTGCTTCCAGGGTTAGCCGGGTGAGCAATCAGATTCTTGGGTGGCAAAGTGTTGTCATGTTTGGATGGACTAGTCTGACTGACTACGACAAGGGCGTTTTGCCCAGAGTTCAGTGCAACCATGGCACTTCTAGCCTGGGACCTAGGCGTGTCTGTCAATCATGAAGAGCACAGTGTTTCGACTGAGGCTATGCCTAGCAGGCTTGTCACACGAGCCGAAAAATCATTGCAAAATGAAGGAAAGGGGACAAAAAGCACAAGGTCACAGCAGCAGTGCACCAGTGAGGGAACCAGGCCTCTGCACTTTGCACATCTTTGCATTTTGATACGTTTCTCTCGCCGCGCGTTTTAAGAAGATTTCAATTTCACCCTGATATGCTTGGAAGAAGCTGGGTCTCTTTTTGTTTACACCAGCGGTAGTTCCTGAGGAAAACAATGCGAAAACCAGTGTGCATTTCTCAGTTGCGTTGTCAACATACAGTTCTCTTGTGGAGGACTTCTGGCAGAGTCAGAGTTCAGGCCCAACAAGTTCTGCCATTTTCATAGGGAAACTGTTGGCAAAGCCATGGATTTAGGGGTGCCACTTATTTTTGAAACAAACCTTTCTCAACCGCGTCTGCAAAGTGGTTGATTCTGCTTTCTTTGGAGCTAGCAGCTGGACAACGCAACTAAGTGCTACTAGTAGCAACCAATTAAGTAGTTAGTACATGTTAGTACTGAGTGCTACCATTCCACAGATGGCGCACAAATCAGCGCATCCAGCCTGGTCCAGTATCAAATCCAAGCAAGTCATGATGTCTCCAGGGGTCGCGCCTGCCAGATCTGCCAGGAGACTTGAAAAAAACGGTGGTAAATTTTCAGCCATGATGTCCCATGATGTTCCGAGATTCGCCTGAGACCACCAGGGTTCTCAAATTGGAATTTGGGTAGAACCTGGGCGATAGCATCGGTGATCAAACCATAGGAGCACAAGAAAATCATAGAAGCTTTGTCTGAAAACAGGCTCCAGTATGCTCCAGTATTCCAACATCCAATAGGTTCTCAATCATTTTACCGCGTTTACCCATTCAAATATAGATTTCTTCAGGATATACATGGATATATTGGAGATACCAATGGTGTAGCGTATGCCGTATTTTCAGGCACACCTAGACCTAGCTACACCTGGCACCCTCAAGGGGGCAGACTCATGGCGGCGGGAGAAGTTGCAATGGCAACCTGTCCATGGCGCCACTCGGTGGACCGTGGGTCGTTGAATCTGGTCATGTGGTAAAGCCATAGGGCCATAGTTCACCCCCAAAAAAATGAGCTGATACTCCCACCAAATACATTAAAATGGACCATATATGGCTGGTAGAAAGTGCAGAAATCATCGATGTTCGATTTATGGCGTTGGATAAAAACCACAGAAATCGATGTTTCCAAGGCCTGAGGAGTCTTGTATTTGCGCGACCTGGATTCGCTTCACAAATGGTTGATTTCCCGAAAAAGGGGTGGAAATAAATGCCAGCTTTCTCATTGATACAAAGGCTATCCGCCACATGGCATGATCATGGATCCACAATGATCCATATATATCATCATATATCCACATCACCTTCAAACTTCGAGGATTTGACCAGGATCCTATAGCAGTTTTCTCTCTGTTTTTGCAGGCCATTGATGGTGGAGAAGCTCCGTTCAATTGGTGTCCAAGGTTCCAACTGCCTGGCCGTTGGATCCCTTGGATCCCAAGATGCGGGCCACCAGTTCGTCAGGGCATAAGACCTGTCAGCGAGAGTGATGACGATAGAGTGGTCATAACGATGACAACGATGATGATGATGATGATGATGGTTTAATGGTGGTTTAATGGTGAAGGTGGCTGATGATGATGATGATGATGATGATGATGATGATGATGATGATGAGAATAAATTTGAGAATAAACTTGTGATACGAGATTCATAGATAGTAATGCTAAGTAGTAGCATATAGCATCAAGGGACAATATGTCTGGTCCAACATGGTCTAAGCCGCTGAGTGCTCTCGGATGGTCCCTGCCTTGAAGACACACTTCCCTGCAAGCCCCGGGCCACGGCCACGCTTCGGTGGTGGACCATGACCTTGTCATGGAGCGATGATTCACCATGGTTAACCATTAACCATTAGTATCACTATATGATGAAAACGATGATGAAAACCATGATTAACAAAACAAACCCAGATTCAGGCTCCTTTTTGCACTTTAGTATACTTTTTAGTTCTACTCAAAAACTGCTGTTCGTCCAGGCATCAACCGCTACAGCTGCGCTGTCTAATTTTTGACACTTCGGTGACTTGGGCTCACACTCTCGTTTGCGCGCTTCATCTCCTGGAACCACCAGTGCAGTGAGATCTTTCGATGTTTCTCCTGTTTGAATTCTGCTCACCCCAGCCATCCCCAGCCTCAAGCTATTGCTCTCAGCATCTCAGCTAGCCCGAGCCAGAGGAGTCAACAGCATGACTGTGGTCTAGCTGCGGCTGCAGAAACTGTCGATACTATATACATCTTACAGATCCTGGTTGCAAAGCAAATACCAACAACTATATCATAGCTTCACGGCGGAGTATGCCAGGCTTGGTCTTCTTGTCCGGCAAGGAAATAGCATCCGCACAACAATCAGCTTTGAAAGCACAGACGGACCTTTCCAAACCGATGTAAAGCTCTCGTAGCAGCTGGGTCAAATGCCAGCCCTATCATGCCTTCTTTGGGCCACTTGCTGCAAGGTTCAGGGAAGATGATCGAGATTGACCTCCCTAGGGAAGATTCCTGCACCTAATTTGTATAATTTCAATATTGGAATCCATGTGTTTGAATATGTGTCAAATTGTTTCAATATAATGTGTCTGCAGCTTTCGTCCTGAACCTGGCCCTAACAAAAACATCGGAGCAGCCTCCAAAGGCCTCCAACAGCAGCTTCGCCTAGTTTCGGTTAAGACCTCCAAACTTATAATTCATCGACAGGAACATCTGGTAGACTTCTTCCAGTTTGTGCTCTGGGCGCTTGGTGACCAGAAAGGATTCGTGAGCCATTGCAGTCTCTAACCATTTCTGCAGTTTCACCATTCTTTTCCTTAGCTCTCGACGTACTCGTTAACACACCTAGCTTCGGACCTAGCTTCGAAAGTGGTTGCTTCAACGCAATTCCCACTGTGGTTTGCCCAAGAAAAGGCTATCCCCTAATTCACTGGTTTAAGACCTCATTTTCTTGATCAAAGACCAGCAGACCAGCATTGGAAAGGGGGCCCATGATCCCCCATCCACCCCGCTCGCAGGCATCAATCGCAAGCATGGAACGGGATCTCGTAGTTTTTGAATTTCCGGCATGAAAATACCAAACGCTCGAAGAAAGGCAATGCACTGATATCAGCCAAGGAAAAGTTGCCAGCCAGATATGGGCCCTGGAGATTGTCCTAGATGGGGAGACAAAATGAATACATATAAGGATATATTATGTGTATATATATATATATACATGGTATGATGTACATAAAATAAAACGATAATGTACTGCATGGTGCATAGGTCAGTGCATAAGCGTGAAAATTAATGATGCGTACATATTTAGTATGTTAATATATATATGTATACATAATGATATACGTATAATACAATATATATATATATATGTATATATATATTATGTATAGAGAGAGAGGGGGACTATGTATGACTACAGGGTATGTACTGTATGGGATGTAAATATGATTTAATCCTGGTAAATCCAGTTTTAAGAAACACCTCCATGTTTCCAGAAATGGGTTGTAAAGAGCATACCCAATTGAGTTTCTCTGGAAAACCCTTGTCTATGGGTGACCAGTAGCATATAACCTCTACGCCTTTCTTCCTACTGCGCATAATATATCTCGTGGAATTCCCGTGGTATTCCCTGTTGATCTTTCTTCCTACATCTATCCAGTTGGGTTCTAATCATTTATAGCAATGGATTGAACAACAGTAGGAAGAAGGGCATCCTCGTAGTATTGAAGGGCATCCTCTAAAGCCTTCAGCAGTTCTGCATCAGCCGTTTCATTTTTGTTCATCAGGAATGTGAAGTGCGCTGGGCTTAGCCTCAGATGTTGAGTGAAAACTGGCTCGACATGTTCTCAAAATTGAAAAAACTGCTTATTGCAAGACTGCGGCCACATCTTTGGATCTGATGTCAAGCTCCTAACCATGAAAATATCCTTAACAATCAAACCGACCTGCCAGTTGAAAGCTGGGATGGACAGCAAAACACAATAGAATCAGAAACCGAGGGACTTGTTGTTGAGGTGATGATTCCATAATTTCACGTGTGCACAACCAGCTGCATCTTCCGGCATCAAGTTCGGGCCGCAGTCAAACTTCTGCTCCAAATATTCCTTTGGTGAGGAAAGATCTGGCCATGAAGCTTGGGTGAATTCTGACAGGGGACCTGGTGATACCATGTGATACCATGTGATACCCACGCCCCGCATTTTTTTCAAGCTGTTGTACTGAAAAAGGGATTACAAAAAAATGAGAACAGACAAGCTTCGTTTATGATTTCAGATTCGTAAAGAGTTGTACCATCGCTGTCACGAATGGCGGGAACCTTCCCCAGCGGATTGACATTTTGCTTGTACCAATCCACCTCTGTCTTGTTCTTCAAGTTGACAACTCTTCTGCTGTATGGAATCCCTTTCTCCTCCAAAGCTATCCATGTCCTCTGTGCATACGGGCACCTTGCACATTTGGCGAACAGTTTGCAAAGCACGTCCGATATCCGAACCCGCAGGCTCTAACCAAACACTGTGACAGTATCATGTAGCCATGACGCCTGTTACGGAGCTGGCGAGTGGATGCAAGTGGTGTCTTGCAATGACTTACGGCCAAGATCAGCCAAGCATCATGTCCATAGTGTAGAACCTCAGATCTGCAGGCAAAAAAAGGAGACAAGTCTGGGACTGACCAAGTTGGTTCCCAAACAGGGACAGCTACCACAAAGGCATGGATTGAAACTAGGCTCTTCTCCCTGCTCTGATAGATGGAATAGTTGTGTTTTTGTTTTTCGTTTTTTTTGGGGGGGAAGGATTAATTAGATTCATTAGATAATGCCAAGCTACCAAAAAAAACAAAAATAAGATAAAACAACATATTAAACAAGACATAACAACACACATAACAACCTGCTTCGTTCAATCCTTTCGAACCACTGCCATCAGGTGGCTCTATTCTTGGCTCCTGGTCAGCGTGAGCGTTTTCGCGAATCTCTTTAAGCGGGTGGATGTTGGAAATTTGGGGATGAGCCTGAGCTCGCTTTATGGCCATTCAAACATTGGGAAGCTATTGGGAAAATATGGGAAAATTATGATGAGCAATTGGATTTTGGAGTACCATGGAGTACCGATGTTCAGACAAACCTACATTCAAGAAGTTCTGATGCACTGCACAGAGAGGGGGGCGACTTGGTGCACGGGTCAATCTTTGTTCCGTTCCTGTACAAGTCGAGGTCTTTGCCTTAAACACTTTGGTGACACAACCTCCGCTTCACGGAGAGTCAAATGTGGCTGGGAAGCGATATGAAGCGATAAACAATGACTAGGTCATCGTCCGCTTCAGCTATACAAAGCCGAAAATGATCGAAAATCAATGAAAACGATTCTAAAAATGCATGTTTTTTTTTGCAAATGACATCTACATCCATCATCATCCATCTACTACGATACTCTTAACATAGCTGAATTTGGAAGACTCGGTCCATGGGGCAACGTCAAAGAACAAGAGCCCGGGAAAAGTGGCGCCATGGCGGTGGAGCTGCTGGAGCAACTCGCTCCATTTCCGGTCTCGTTTCCGGTCTCGAGTCCAGGCCCTGACGCAAAGCGTCATAATATTGCTTCTTGTAGTGAGCACCTGGATGATGATGGTAAACTGATGGTAAACCATCTGGTTATGACATGTTATGACTAACAGTGACATTCACAGTTTGCCATGATTTATAAATCCCCATGCGATACAAAGAACGGTAAACCATCTATTTCTATGGGCCATTTTCCATGGCTATGCTAAATAACCAGAGGGTATATGATTTTATATGATGTTTGATGTCTGTTGATGGCTGTTGATGTCTGTTGATGTCTGTTGATGTCTGTTGATGATTTTGATGTTTGATAATGCCCTCCGAAATAAAATCCTAGATCTAAAAAGGTGGAATGCAACCCAGTTACGGCGAACTGACCGTTTTATAGTGGTATGTCATGGTTTGTCAAGTGTTATCCAAAATCATCCCAAACTTTCAAACCATACCACCAAAATGCAACACAAAGAGAACAAGAAAATGTATGCCATATGGGCCATATCCAGGAACTTCGGCCAATCCAGAGATCGTTTTCAGACTGCAAGACTTCAAGCATCCTCGTCTTTTTCGAATCTTCCTCCTGAGCAGCTTTGAGGCGTAGTCTCAAGCTGCTCAGCTCGGCAACTGCCTCATGGCACAGTTCCTCTTGCCTTTCGAAATCCTGCTGTTTGGCTTGGAAGCTGTCTCGGATTTGTGCGAGTGCCTCAAGCTTTGCTCGAAGCTCTGCCGTTGAACGATGATGAAGCTCTTGTTCTTTGGTGAACTGCTTCTTCAGCTCATGCAGCTCATCTTTGGCCTTGTCAAGTTCTCCAACCTTTGATCGAAGTTGAAGTCGCAAGGTCTCACACAAGTCTTCTTTACTTTTGCTGTTCCTCAAAGCAGAGTCCAACCGCCTCTGCATCTCTGAGTGGTTGACTTGAAACTCCTTTCGTAAATGTCGAAGCTCCTCTTTTTTCCCATCCAATTCCCGCTGAAGTTCATACGCTTCATCCTCAAGTTCATCATTGCTCGATTTTCTGCTTTCCAGTTCTGTGTTGCGTATAGACAAAGATCGCTCTCTTTCTAGGACACTTGCCAACTCGGCTTTGACTTGACTGAGATTCTTTTTCAAGTCGTTGCAGCGACTCTGCCAATAATCTGCTTGGTGGCATAGAGCTGCGTCTTGAAGCACATGTTCCGTACGTGGATCCATCCGTTCTCGTTGAGGTGAGTGTCCACGTGAGCCCGTTCTGGGACTCAGAGATAGAATTGGGTCGAGGGCCATGGCGATGAAATCTGATGGCACCAATGAAAGCAAGTGCTTGAGCCAAACCGAGTTCGGCCAATTGTTAAAAGCCTCCATGCAAGAGGAGTGGATGAGTCATGACGAGTCTTTATCAGTCTTCACTTGTGTTCATGTAATGTTAGTAAAGCAATAGCTAACTATCCCCAATGTTAATCGTAAATGGATGGTATGAACATGTATGAACTATATATCAAAATAGTGGTGGTTTATTATTGTTTTACTATGTTTTACTAACATCAGTTGTGTTCGCAGATTGGCGGATGCACATTTCCCTACTGTAATTGCCATTGAAAACGACATCATGGGGCTGTCCACATGGCCGAACAATGAGCAAGAAGTTGGATTTCCCATTAGAAGCAGCGGGAATTATTGATGTGTCATGATATGATATGATATGTCTATATATTTCTTGACTATTGAAAGCACAAGCGTTTAAAGACATGGGAAATGTATGGAAATTCCCAGCCATTCCCCAGCCATCTTTGTTTCCACCCAGCCGTCCCAGGCGCTCCTCGGGTAACGCAAACAGCGCTGGTCGCAGCAGCGCCAAGGGCGCTAGGAGCACCAGGCGACGTAAAGATTTTGTTCGAGGCATGGCTGATGCAAAGAAGCGTGGCACTGGCCCATCTGGCCCAAAAAACATGGGAAAGTCAGTTATAGAAAATCCATGAAAATCCACTTTGAATTCATCGTTTTTTTGAACATAAAGAAGAGAAACTGTGAATTTTATCAGGACAGGAGGGTCCTGTAAATGTTCTCTCCGACCAAATCTGAGATACGTGGATACCACTTGGCTTTGTCCTCAGCAATGTGAGCCAACCACCTGGCTTTTGCTCTCATCCTAAGCTGTTGTCTGATCTCCATCAATGTGTGCTACTTCCATCCAAGAATATTGAAACAGTTGGAGGAATCTGCTGCATCCTCTAGATTCGCCATCACTGGTTGCATTTCAGCAATTCAGTGGGAAAGATGCGAGTGGGCGCCAGGTGAGTAGACAACCTTGTACCATGGCTGCAGCATGTACCAGCCATGCACCAACACTCAAGGCTCTGAGCTTGAATGTCTCGAGAGACATCTTTGAGGCATAAGAACCTGGAGAAAACCAAACAAGTCCAGTCGTGTGTCAAACGAATCCACTTTTGATGCTCCGCCAGGAGTTCGCAATTCACAGTATTCTGAATCCATAGTCCAGAAATTGTAACATATGGCAACAATTCGCAACATATTATACTATATATATATTATAAAATACATATAATATATATATATATGTATATATATATATTAATATATATATATATTTATACTGTTGCACAGTTGAAATGTTCTTAAGCGGTTTATCCATTCCCACTTCGGGGTCTTCCACCAGCTCTTCCAGCGATCCCATGCGATCCCCCCATCAGGCATCGGTCTCATTTTTCGGACTCCATCGGAAAAATCCCGCGTTTTACGTCCTACGAGAATCAGGGAGTGCTACTGTCAGTGCTACAGTAGACTGAGTGTAATTCGTAACATTGTTTTAAACATGTTTAAACATTTTTAGCTTGATTGAGCCCAATTTAAATGAGCCCTGCCCAACTTTGAGAAAGAGGCTCATGCAATGTTCAAAGGTGCATCATCAGCTCAAGATCTGTGTGCGCCGACGGTATGAATGAGAATTGATCTAATCAGCAAGCAGGCGCGAAAACAGCGCAAATGATATTGCTGCAAAGTAGTATACAATTTGCTGTACATGTGGAAATGTCAGTTGTGCCGCACCCAGGTAGAATCCGGCCCTACTTTGCATGATGTATTGCACCGCATACTGTCGTCCATGGGATAGCATCCCATCCTCCTCTCCATGAAATTTCCAGGAGTTCACCAAGGGAGCTACACGATTGGCCTTCTCAGTCACAGCCGCTGCCCGGACCATGGTATAGAGGAAGAAGATGACCATCGGATAAAATCTGCTACTCCATTGAAGCTTGTTTGATAGAGAGACTTCATCTGTGTAGAAGATCACTTGCTCTGCCAAAAGGGCCACACTTGCCAGGCAGCAAAATCCCATGGCCCGAAAGCAGTTACTCATCTTGGTGGAGACTTGTCGGAGCGTTGCCTGCAGAATGTTCCACTCTTCCAAGGCGTCTTCAATGCTCATGCTTTTGAAGAAGCTCAGAGTGAAGCTATCCAAGGCCAGTTCAAATCCACAGCCAACATGCAACAGTGAGTAGCAAAGCATCAAATAGCGAAATTGCATCAGCCAAAAGGCGGCTTCAAAAATTGAAAAGTGGCAGCCGATTAGTGAGGTCAGGGAAGGGACCGGGGCCTCCGAGAGGAAGTTGACGATAGCCACCAGCGCAGCGAGAACAGCATAGGCGCCCAGTGTCTGCATCAAACGGCGTCTGGACATGCTTTGCCACTCTGACATGAACTCTGCATTTACTGCATACTCATCCAGCTGGTGGTCTTTGGGTCCAAGAAGGAGGTCGAAACCATTGCTTTTCAAATTATGGCTGGCGAGCGACAGACCGGTTTGAAAGCAGCACAGCGTCACGCTCTTGGTGAAGCTCCACTTGGAATCGATATCAGCTGTGCACAGTAGCACGATGGAGACAGCGAGTGGAAGGATAGCATAGCTGAAGAAAGCAAAAAAACGGGAGGCCAATCCATTGCCAAACTGCATTTGGCCCGAAAAACACAGAAGAAAGCGGCCTAAAACAGGAAGGGAATGCAGATTCCCATCATTCCCTTTGTTGTATCCAGGGCCAGTCCTGTTTGCCACAACCGTAACCTCATCATGATGCATACGTAGCTCGTCCATGGACATCCTGCCCTTGCTCAATACAAGAGCTTTCTCCTCTCCTGTATGGGGTCACCAAGTTAATAGAAACACAATCAACAACAGAAAACACTAAATGGTACCCCCACTTTCTTGACCACAGTTGTTTCATGTGTTTTCTATGTTTGAAGGTTTACAGTTTCTGCACAGTTTCTGCACAGTTTGTTTCCCCGCATTGACTCCGCCTCGGGTTTTGCTGTTGAGACTCTTCGGCCGATGCTCCCCAAAAGCCTCCAAAGCCTCAGGACTTTGCAATGGGCTCGATGGGCACGGGACCAAGAGCGCGGAAGGGTGACGCTTCCCCGGTCTGATTGGTCTGAAGCCGCTCAAGAGCTGATTTGCATTCAGGTCTTCCAGGTCACGAAGGCCAAGGCTGTTTGGCAATTCAAAATTCAACCTGTTTTCTCTCTTGGACTCCCTGAGTTGACTCTGTTTTGCCATGCTGAGAGATCCTAGGGGATCAGATTGGCACTTTCTTTGCTTCTTCACATTCTCCTCCTCCCTTGGGGCACTTGGTGGTATCTCAGACGCGTGGACTGCAAGCTGAGAAGGCGTCTCTGATGTCTCTGAAATGCTTCCCAGGCCCACTGCATGCAGTGCAGCCGATTGCGCAGCAACTGAGCTCTGCAAATCCTGTATCATGAGGCATTGGTTGGCAGTCGACGTCTGAATCTGCTTCAAAGCGGTGTGGATCAACTGCATCCACTCGTGCAGCGCCGGCTGCTCAGAAATCTCAGAGAACTGCTGTATGTGCAGGGATTTCAGCGAGTGAGAAGCAGCGGACGGCGCGGGAGGCGCAGAAGGCGCCGAAGGCACACGTTCAGAAGCAGCCGACAAAGACATCTCTTCAGTGCTGGACCTCAGAAATTCTGTGACTTGCCCATAGATGCGACAGACATCTCTTCAAGGGATTTGCAACTTTGAGCCGAGAGATTGGCATTGGTAAACAAGGGTCTCATGCCGCTCTTGCACAGAAAATTGAGGTGTTGTGAAAAAGACATGAAAACTTACTGAAAAAAGACTGAACATTGACGAAAGATGCTGGATGCAAGAGAAAACACATAGGGAAATATCACAGACATTGGCGGTCTGCGGCCTCGGCCATGAACGGTCAGGTCAGCCCAGGTCAGCAAACAGAAATGCCCCACGCCGGTCATGGTACAGTTAGGGACAGTTAGGGACAGTAGGCAAGCCGAGCCAAGTTTTTTCACCAGTTTGCTTTTGACGTGCGTGAGATGCGTGAGATGCGTAAGATGCGTAAGATGCAACAGCTCGTGGCCGCGGGTCGTCGCGTGAAACTCACGCGGTCACCCAGCTCAACGCCATTCATCGACCAGATCGATCCTATCCAAGTAGTGGTCCACTTGCTGATCAGTTCTGCTCCAAGCTCTTGACTTCCTGCAATTGGTCACCCACAAAGCAGATCAAGGTTGCTAAGGTGTCGACTTGCTTATGTACCGTCTGTTGTATCTTTTTGAACGGTTGGTTTTTGTACGTGTTTGTTTTGCAAAGGGATCAGAGTGTTTCACGTTCAACTTGTTGGTGAAGGCTCACTTTGGTAGCGAATCCTTTGAGAGATTCACCTGCTATATGTGCCTCAAATGTGCGTAAAGGTTCGGCTTTCGATGGACACATTTTTGTTCATTGCTGTCGCTTTGAGTTTGGATGCATTTGTATGGTCAATCTTCTTCGGATATCTTGGGTGCAGGATGGCGTTCAGGTCGTTCAGATTAGATTTTAAATGTTGATGCTGTTTCTGCACACCTCGAAAATCATACCGGAAAAAATGCAATTTGTAGAGAAACCCCTGTTTGGTGTCTCAAAACCAGCAAAAGACCCTTGAATCTTGTCGAGGCCCGCTACTTCTCCACAATTGCGTCTTTCAGAATATGTTGTCATCATGCATCAATGATTCATTATATAATATATACATATATAATATAATATAAATGATATTATCATCATGCATCATGTTCCTTGTTCATCATTTTTCAACAATGCTTCATATGTTCTCTTTCTTTTTCTTTGAGCGCCACACCATGGGACAAGCATCGTTTTATAAGTTTCAACAGTTCAAACGACAAAAATCGACCCAGGAGTTTCCGCTACAAAATCCAAACTGTTGACGGCGACGCTCGATATCATCGCGTCTCCATGAGTACTAAGATTGAAGGGTTTCTTAGCTATTTTTTGTTGATTTATTTTTTTTGGTGGTGGTACTGATGGATGTTGCATGTGAATGGATGTTGTTGTTGTTTTTGATGCTTTTAGGCCCACAATCGTTCACTACAAAATCAGAAACACTGGCCAAGGGCCGCTCAAGAGCCTCTACAAAATTATTAGAAACATGGTCCAAAGGCGATGTAATAGTCTCAGCAAAATCGGAAACATGGGCCACGGCCAGTGAAGGTCTGTACAAAATCGGAATTGTTAAATTTAGATTGAAGGGTAGGATCTTTGGTGGTCTTGTGGGAACTGATGGGCCGGTGGGGAAAGGTTGGTTCTTAACCTTTGTTTCGTGTAGGAGCCTGTCCAAAAAGAATAGAACACCAAACCTATAAAAACTTGAGGCCGGGGGTGGATGACGAAAGCTAGCGGGGTAGGAGAAAGAAGGAAGGGAAGAGGTGAGTTGCGGAGGGACTGTCATCATCGTGTCGCGGCATTGTTCGTCCCAACGAGGATGCAACAATGATATATGATATATGATATATAACAATGATATATATGGGGGAGGGGGCAGGGGGGGGCCCTTTCGCGTGAAAAATCACGTGATGTCCTTGGGGAGCCCCGGAATACTTGCTAAAGCAAGAAGACTCTAGCGAGCTGACGCTACCTTTCGTGATAATGCCAACAATTGCCAATAATGATGAAATGTAAGTGAATAACGATGATGATGATGATGATGACGACGACGACGACGATGACGATGACAAGGACGATGACGATGACGGGGACGAGGACAAGGACGAGGACGATGATGATGATGATGATGATGATGATGACGATGACGAGGACGATGGTGAGGACGATGGCAATGATGATGATGATGATGATGATGACGATGAGGATGACGATGATGATGATGATGATGATGATGATGGTGATGGTGATGGTGATGATGATGGCGAGGACGATGCCAATGATGATGATGATGATGATGATGATGATGACGATGACGAGGAC